GAGAACAACTTTTAGGAAAGCAAGGCTATGTGAAATTCAATGGAAACGTCAGCTCTACTCATATAATTGTGGGAACATTATACTGCCAATCCTTCATCACCCTAAACGAAATTGGGTGAATACATCTCATATGAATGGAAACAAGTCAAAAGTTGTGATAGGGCGGGAATAAGATAAGAGTGTAAGGAGTAGATAGATGGATCAGGACAGAAAGAGGAGCGATGGCACAACCTTTTCGGCAGAAGGTTTGTCGGAGGATTGACTTCACTTGTCTCTTTGACGAGGTGTAGCTTGGTGATGAGAATGGCAAGACTCATTGATGATGCTGACTAGGATGTCGGCGAAACATCTGAGAATGTACCAAATCCACGAATTTACGCTGACAATTATGATGACTACTATGGTAGGGGACTTCGGACAAGGTGCATCCAACCAAGTCAGCCTAACAACAAGATAAGGTTACGAAAACGAGGTCAACTTGCTTCTATACAGCGAAAGGAGACTGCGACCATACTAAGGGCCAAGCCATCTTGGTCTGTATATCTTCGATGTGAGAAATATAAATTTGATTAAAAAATAGCCTTAAATAAGGATGGACAAAAGAAGTTGATTTTAATTGCAAATGAGTTGCTGGTAGCCTTTATTTCACCTAGTACAAGCGAGTTTCCTTTCAACTAGACTGTACTTCCAGATTTTCCTCACCTGGATCTCACCTTCATCGACAATTGTTGTGTTAAATAATTGTAGGAAGAAGTTTGATCCAGTCATTGCCCTGGCAACCCCGAAATCTTGCTCCAAAAGTTTACTTTCTCAAAAAAGTTGATGTCTCCAGCTTCAAGCCAAAAAGACTGAAGGAGGTTCGATCATTATAAATAACCCTAGCTTACTTCGAAGTACTATTTGATGGACAGTGATTGGAAACTGTAAGCCGATCTCCTGTTAATCGGTACACATGGAGGATTTTGAGAAAAAATTGGGTTTCTAATACTTCCTTACTATACGAATGTTTGTCTGCGTTTTAGTTTACTTTAAAAGGTTGTTGAAAGTGATTCACAAATTGTTTCCACCAACAACCGAAGGAAGATTTCTCGCTGTAAAATTGTGCAAAAACGGCCTAGAATCACCATCCTGTAACTCAGAGGAATTCGATGAAACAAATATCCTCACTCACCCCAATCTCTTTTACGCCAACATGGCTGTCGTCCGAACAACCGTTGTTACCTCCTCCTAGCCAAATTACCCTTTATTCGCATTCACTTATTGTTCATTCTTCCTCCATACTAGTTCCGTTTCTTCTCTCGGCTCATTCCTCTGTCATTTACCGAGGATTTTTGCTTATCTTTTCTGCTAATTCCTTATCCTTTCTTCCTTCATTATCGCCTACAGGCACACGAGAATCTGCCTTTCTCGAAGCCATCCTCAGCGCTGGCCTGATGCATTCAATCACGATGGCCTGCAGCGTTGGAAATTTGACGGCCTGCACTTGCGTGCCAGTCGTGAGCTCTTTGCCAGGAGAGCTAAACCTGTCAGGACTAAGCGGTCGCAGCAATTTGGGCCGTACGAAGGACGCTGTTCCTACCCTCGTGAAGATGGCAAGTTATGAAGCGAAGATCACTAGAGCAGATGAAGATGCACGCCTGGTGAATGAAATGCACAAGTGAGTTTCAATGACCGCGAGACAGAGATTTGAAGAGTTGGTCGATAATTAGGATTTTTACTTGCTAATAAAGCATTTAGAAACGAATGAAAACCATACCCATTCAGGCTAAAGAGAGAAAGAAACTGGCCATAATTAGGCATTATGTATGAAAAATCGCCAAATTGGCTCGCAAGTGAGAACTATTTTAC